ATTCACACATAATCAAGCCAGCACCGGCACAATTTGGAAAAAGTGCTGTATGGTTAGAGCTCCAATTCTCCCTGTTCAGATGGACATAAAAGATTATTTGAAGAACAGAAGAGTTGTCCGAATATATTTGGCAACATTAATCCCTTAAACACTACTACTAACACAGATGGTCTGTTATTTTATCCCACTGCTGTTTACGGAGCCAATTTACAAACATAGGAATAAGAAACATGGGTAGGTCTTTCAACTCCTCTAATCTGCTCCACCATTCAATAAGACAGTGGTTGATCTGAAATATAGCTTCAACTCCACATTCCCATCTACAAACAATAATCTTGGACCTTCCCTTGTTAATGAAGAATATATCTACCTCAGCATCAAAAGTATTCAACCATTCTGTTTCCATTGCTTTCTGGGGAAGGGAGTTCCAAAGCCTCACCACCATGAGGGAAAATAATTCCAACTGGAAAACAAAAATAATATTAAAAATTCTAATATCGTTTCAGCATCCATCCTATAAAGTTCTATCAGAGTCTTGCATGTTTCAATAAGATCACTTCTTATTCTTAATATACTATGTAACAACCAACAGAAATAACTCCAGCCTGTGTAACTTTTCCTCATAGCATAAACCTCCTATTCCAGCAATCAGTTGAGTGACCTTCTCCAAACTGCTTCCAACACATTTACATTGTTTCTTAAATCAGAAGACCGAAACTGTACACAATGCTTCCAGATGTGGCCTCACCAACACTCTGTACAAATGCAGAAAAAAAATCTCTATCTTTATACCCCATCCTTATATCTTGCAATAAACAACAATATTCCTAAACAAATGCTTATTTTCACACACATACGAAGTAAACACATGAATGTACAAAATAGGAGCAGAGGTAGACCATTCAGCACTTTGAGCCACATCCACCATTCAATAAGATCATTGTTGATCTGTTTGTGCTTCAAATTCCACATTGCCATTTACCTCTGAAATATCGTGATTCCCAACCTATGAAGAATCTATCCACCTCTGTCTTAAAAATATTCAATTACCTCACCTTCACTGCCTTCTGAGGCAGAGAGTTCCAAATCATGAAAGTGCCAGGTATTAAATCAGATGATGGAATTTGGAAAACAATAGCCCAGATGTTACATCATTGTGTTAACACCCAGATCCCTATGTGATGCACTCTCTCAACTTAAATATGTTGCTTTTCTATTATTCTTTCCAAAGGGGAAAACTTCACATTTTCCAACAAAATACTCTATTAAATTTTTGCCCATTCATTTAATCTATCCATACCACTTTACAGACACTATACGTCCCATTCACAGCTTGTTTTCCTGCATGTCCTTGCATCATCAGCAAATTGAGTAACCTACATTCGGTCCCTTCGTCCAATTAATTTATATAGATTGTAAATATTTAATGCCTCATTACTGATCTCTTTGATGTGCCAAAATTGTTTATAATTTATTGTTTCATTAAATATTTTGGAGACAACGTCAAAGCCCAAGATATGCCGTGTGTCCAGTAGGCCTCTGCACCCAGCATCCTTCTCACTATTTCCAGGTCGCCCGGCCCAACTCACCTAAACATTCACCCTGGTATGAAAATTCCAACTTCAAAACCACATTCTGCTGGGTAGCTTCATAAAGCTTGGAATTCTCTCAACACAGCACACTTGACATATGGATGAAAATACAGACCACGCTTCCTGAAAAATACATTTCCATAAAATACATTTTAGGCAGCAGCAGGCAGAAAGAAAGAAGAATTGCAGACCAGCAAAGGAACAGGATCCTGCCTAAAACCCATCAGATGGCAAAGGATTTGGGTTGTCCTTTACCTAACTCTTTGAGAAACCAAATCAAGTTTTCATTGCAGGAATTCCACTACATCTCAATTGGACTGAAACTAGAGAAACATGCTACTACAAGTTGTGTGGCAATTGCTCTTCTCAGAACCTGTGGCTGGTTTTTTTAGATTTATAATACCTAAGTGCATGTTACTTTTTCTGATATCATCTTATTGGTATGTGTAACTGTATGAATGGGTATTGTAGTGAATACTTTTTGACAGTTGAATAATGAAGATTTATTTTTCATTTTAAAACCTTACAAGAAAGCCTGCCATTTATTTGTTACAGCACTCAGCAGACTAAAACACTTATCCTTCAAAACATATTTGTCTTTGATCAGTCAAGATGTGGAAAAAAAAACTATCCTATTAACTCTCCCATGTCTGTAATATTAATGGTAATCATCTTACACTGTGGTTGTTGGACGATAACCACTCACTAAGGTTTTGGAGTAGATCTGTAGCTCGGGTTGTGGGTGTTGAGGTTGGTTGGCTCGCTGAGCTGGTTTGTTGTTCCGCAGACGTTTCGTTACCGTGCTTGGTAACGTCCTCAGTGCAGCGTAAACTATGGATACGCTACGTAGACGACACCTTCGTCATCATTAAACGGACCAAATTAGAAGAGACACACAAACTCATAAACAACACCCTCACCGGAATAAAATTCACCAGAGAGGAGGAGAAGAACAAACAACTCCCATTCTTGGACGTCCTGGTAGAGCGCAAGACAAAAGGGGAACTGCAAACGAAAGTACACTGAAAAGCCACACACACAGACCAGGTATTGAACTTCAATAGTAACCATCCGAGCACACACAAACGCAGCTGCATGTGAACACTATTTAAAAGGGCAACAACACACTGCAGCAACATGGAACTATGCGAAGAGGAGGAGGAATACCTCTTCCAAGCGTAATGGATATCCAAAGAACTGGGTCAGGAGATGCCTACAGGAAACGCATCAGAAAGATTGTACATGCCCTGACACACTCATCACACTACCCTACATCAGGAACACGTCAGAACTCACCACAAGACTTCTACGACCGCTGGGCATCAGAGTGGCACACAAACCCACATCAACCCTACAACAAGTGCTCACCCGAACTAAAGACCCACTCCCTGCCATGGACAGGACCAATGTCTTCTACAAGATCCCCTGCAGAGACTGCGAGAAACACTACATCGGACAAACAGGAAGGAAACTAACAACAAGAGTACATAAACACCAACTGGCTACAAAAAGACATGACCAATACTCACTCATCTCAATCCACATGGACAAGGAGAACCATGACTTCGACTGGGACAACACCAAGATCCTGGGACAGGCTAGGCAGAGACAAGCACGAGAATTCCTGGAAGCATGGCACTCCACAAAGCAGGCTATTAATAAACACATTGAACTCGACCCCATTTACATTCCACTACGGAGGAAACCCAGAAGTGAGGCAATCCATCGCAACGGACCCCAGAGTTTAAAAACCAGGCGGGAAAACACACCAACACTTCATCAGAGGCTGCACTGAGGATGTTACCAAGCACGGTAACAAAACATCTGCGGAACAACAAACCAGCTTGGCGAGCCAACAAACCTCTATAACCACTCAGCTGAGCCCCAGGGCATCACAATGGGCGTTTGTCACATATGATAAAAAGTAAAGTCGCAATAATCTTGCCAAACCATAGGGCTGCTCTCTCATTAGAGAGAGATAACTGGTTGTGGTTTAATCTGAGGGTTGCCACACCTCAGGCAATGGGAGAAGTTAAAAAGGAGAGTCCTTCATGGTATTCTCATCTGGTGCAGAAATTGAACCCAAGCATTTGGCGTTATTCTGTGTTGCAAACCAGCCAATTAAGCTCACTGATTCTCCCTCTCAGGACAGCATCCAACGCCAAGCTTATCTTCAGCTGCTTCATTCTCTTCCTTCATCATCAGTGACCACTTAATTTATGTCACAATTCTTTGGATGATAAGAGTCCATTCCCACATGCAACAAGACCTGGACGACAATGAGGTTCTCGTTAATAAGTGTGAATTAACATTTGCCTCACACAAACGTCAAGGACCATCAATCTCCAATCAGAGTCTAACCACCTCACCTTGAATCTGGCAATTGAATCACAAACCCTGCCTGTTCTGTGTGATAATTTTCAAACGAGGTATCAGAAAGAAAACACCAGAAAGATCAATATATAGTATTCAAAGAGTTCTAATGGTGAATTAATACTTCGAGGATATAAATATTCTTGTTTAATTAATTACAGAGCATGGGTAATCACTAACAGTTTCAAGTTTTCTTCCTGGTTCTTCAACAGTCTTGTATTTCTCATTCCTGGTTAGCATTTTGCAATGTACTTCAACTCACACAAGCTTAAAACATTCTGCCGCCAACAAACTTAATTAATTAAGAAATGCCTTTGGGTTAATTGTAACTATAAAGTCAAACTCCAATGTTTGTTCGAAATACGCAAAGTCAAAAATCACAGGACACGAGGTTATAGTCCAACAGGTTTATTTGAAATCACAAGCTTTCTGAGCGCAGCCCCTTGGTCAGCTGCAGAAACCTGTTGGACTATAGCCTGGTGTCCTGTGATTTTTGACTTTGCGCACCCCAGTTCAACACCGGCACCGTCACACCCTAAATATGCAAGGAATATACAAAACCGAACTGCTTTAGTAACTGCGTGTGCGCATGGAGGTTTTTTTTAAACGAATAAACTGTTTTTGCATCAAATAAAATCCGAGAGGTACGAAAACAGAAATCGCCGGAGAAGCTCAGCAGGTCCGGCAGCATCTGTGGTCAGAGAAAGCAGACTTAACGTTTCGGGGTGTCTCTGCTTTCTTCACACAGATACTACCAGACATGCTGGCGTCCTCCGGAGGTTTCAGTTCGCCAGCATCCACAGTTCTTTGGTTGTTTATTACTGTTTAAAACTCTATCTAATTCTCCGCTGCCCCCTCCGCCTCTGCAGCAATCAGGAACGGCGCCGCCTCTGCGCATGCGCGTCAATCACCCATCCTCCGGGCGGGAGGGGGAAGTTGCCATAGCAGCGGCGCTGCGCTTCCACCCGCTGCGGCGCGGGTGGGTGTGGACAGTTGCCATAGCAGCGGCGCCGTTCACCCCACCCCCCCCGCCGCCATTTTACCCGCCGCTCCGGTAACCATGGCGATCAGTCCGGCTCAGGTTTTCGCGACGCTGCTGTCGGATACAGAGAATGGCAAACGCTGTTGGCCTGAGCGCCGCGGCTCCAAGTCGCCCGTGCCTTCCCCTTCCCCTTCGGCCGAACGGGAGGTGCAGGTCAGCGCCACAGCCGAGGTGTCGGCGCCTCCGAACCGGGCCCGAGTCTGCGTGCTGGTGGCCAGCCGGAAGGAGGCGGCAGCGGCGGCCAAGAGCAGCGTCAGTCGGCGGCTCGAATACATCGTGCAGAGCGTCCGGGCACACGGTGTGAGGGTAAGGTTATACCGAGCCCAGGGAAGGAGAGGGACAGTGTCAGTCAACACTGACAGCCGGGAACGGAGCCGCCTGCTCCCAGCACTCGACACGAGGGCTGAGCTTGGCGCATCACAGACTAAAATACTCTGAAGGGGATTTTTAAAATTTGTATATTTTTTCTTCCCTCTGATTAATTCTTGCTCCTGAAAAAAAGAAGCTTAATTCCCATTCCAGAGTTTGTACTGGATTAAATTAGCAGCCCGAGAGTAATCGACATTATGCATTGGTGTAAACATGACCCAAGTAAAAGTTCTGGCCTCGTTGTATTGGAAAGACTGGCATCGATTCTGGGCTCAATGGCCACTTCCTGAGTTCCGTTGTTCGACGATTCGTCATCGTTGCAGGTTGGCCGTGTTGTTCATAGTGACCCAGTTAAGCCTGACACAATAAACATCTAACTCTTGAAAGTGCAGTCAACTTGCATCAAGGATGCATCACTCACTTTTGGTAATGATAGATGTCACAAGTGATGCTGGGTAGCTGTAGTAATAATGTTTGACAGTCACTTGGAAAATCCTATCCGATTCCCGTGTTAGAAGGAATTGATTGCATCCAACAGACTTATAACTGATTCAGAGATAGTAGGAACTACCGATGCTGGAGAATCTGAGATAATAAGGTATAGAGTTGGATGAACACGGCAGACCAAGCAGCATCATAGGAGCCGGAAGGCTGACGTTTCGGGTCTGGACCCTTCTTCAGAAATGGGGTCCAGCCCCGAAATGTCAGCTTTCCTGCTCCTCTGATGCTGCTTGGCCTGCTGTGTTCATCCAGCTCTACACCTTGTTATCTCAGACTTTTTGTTCACCTTTTATCCAATGACCTCAATGTAATCTTTTCACAAATGCTTGGGGGGGTGGGGGGGATGAAAACCATTTGCTTATTCTGAGCAGGTTGACAGTAGTAACTTTCTCTGTAGTGTCCCTATCCCTGGACCAGGAGGCCCAGGTTCATGTCCCACCTGTTCCAGAGGTGTGTGATAGCAACATTGAACAGGTTGATAAAATTGTTATTTTAGAATGTAATCCTCAAATAGATACAGTATGGTATTTTCTTGAATAAGGCAAGGTGGACTCCATATGCATGAACACTTTGCAACATGTAAATTTGTAAAATATTGTCACATAGAAGCCCTGAGCTTCTCTTAGTGACATGCTGAAAATTGCACTTTCCAACAGTTCAGCAGTGACATTGGCAGGTACCTGGTGTTATGATTACTGTCATGATGTACACAGTTCTAAAATTGTGACTGTAACAGTGAAAATGTTAAATCAAGAATGGTCCAATATGAATGCAGAACACATGTTGGTAATGGTGAAAGTGTGGAACTGGTGAGAGTGAAAAGAACAGCTTCTGAGCCACAACGGTATAATTAGAAGAGCTGATTATAAACATGGTTTAAATAGATGGATTTTAAGAAGGTTTTCTGATTTGGGCAGAGTAATGTTGAGGGTTGGGAACCTCGGGTAAGATTCCAGAGATGCAACTAATTTAGATGAAGACAGGCCCATTAATGGTGGCGTTCGAATCCAGAGGGAGAAGACTGAGTGTAGGAGGGCTTAAAAGATGAATAGGTTCCAGTCAAAGACTCTTGAAAGGTTGTGAAGGAATTTTATGATGAATATTTTGAATCCTTTCTTTCAGGAGACCTTAAATGTAACAAAGAATAGACTAATGAATCACTTATTGTGGATAAGATATTGGCAGTTGAATTTTGGACAAATTTGGGTTTATGGAGGGCGGAGATGTTAAGAGTGTCGAAGAAGTTTAGTCTTGAAGTACACAGAAACAGTGGACAGGAAAACACTGTGGTCCATTCCCAGCTTGTTCCACACAACTGATATTTTTTATGTGTAATGCATAGACACAGCAACCCATTCAAAACTCAAGTGATCTAGAGAGGGGTAAGAAGCCAGGCCAATTTAGAGACGTGAGAGACATCTGCAGCATTTCCATCCAAAAACAAACATTTCTCTGCTAATGGGTGTGAAGTGGGTAAGAGGTCATGATAATACAGAATTTTAAGTAAACAATCATACTGATTAATAGGAAGTGAAGTTTGAATTGTACTTCTGAGTTAAAAATTAGGAATCGAGCCTATGAAATTGTCGCATAAGGACTATCGAGTGAAGCAAGGTTTATTACAGTTCCGAACATAATAACTTCAGTTGACAATTTTGACTACTTTACAGCAGTACCAAATGGGCACACTGACGGCAGAAAGGTAGATGTGAGATTACAAAGAAATGGTAGGGAATACATCTGTGTCATCCCCACATAATAAACTGATCCTGTGTTAGTGGATAATGCCCCTAAGGAGGTAACATGTTAACGAGAGGCCATGGATAAATTGATTATTACAAGTTGGCAAAACAAAGTGTTGTGTTTTTTTAAAAAAAAAGTTGGAGCCAACTTCACAGAGGCAACAAGTATCTGATTTCATTATCATCCAGCATTTTCACCCGTGCTCAACAGCCATATAGATTAACCCTTTCATGAAAGCTTTCCATGGCTAAGAGAAAATCAATAGTGAATATTTACCACACTCCGTTTCCTTGCACTAACTAAAGCAATCCAAAATAAACTTTAAGCATGTAAAGTGCTTGTTTATTTTGAAACTGAACTTGTTCTCCAGTGGGAAGTAACTTGGGTGTTGTTACTGAGCTAGAAGGAACCAAGGTGACAGCAGGCTGAACCCCTCTTAATGTTGAATTAGCTTTTCTCAGCTGGATTAGCAGTGGAATACTGCAGTTAATTTCTGAAGGAAGGGAAATCAACTGTAAAAACCATATATTGATATCCTTGCCCCAGAAACATTGTAGGAGAACAGAAAACCAAATGAATGAGGGGCTAGGATATGTTTATCAAGTTTGACAGAGAAAGGTTGGAGGAAGCTCATATGCAGTACCCGCATAACGTTGATTTATTGAAGCAAAAGGCCCATTTCCAGGCTGTAAATACTTGTTTAATTCTCTTCATTATATTCAATCTTTACCTTTTGACTTTGAGGAGGCAAAGATTAGAGGCAAAAGAAATTGGGAGATAGATTTTGTTTAATCATTCATTAGATGTGTGAGCTGCTGGCTAGGCCAGCATTTATTGTCCATCTCTAAATGCAATGGAAAAGGTGGTAATGAGCTACCTTAAACTGCTGTAGTCCTTCCACCATGCCATTAGGAAGGAAGTTCCAGGATTTTGATCTAGCGATGATAAAGGAACCATGATAAAGTACCAAGTCACGATGATGGGAGATTTGGAGGGGCATTTGATTATCATGATGTTTCCGTGTACCTGCTGCCATGTCCTTTTAGGTAGTAGACTGGTGTGTCGGAAGGTATTGTCAAAGGACCCTTGATAAGTTATTACAGTGCATCTTGTAGATAGTACATGTATTACCACTGTTCAGGGAGTTAATGTTGAAGGTAGTGGATGGGATGCCAAATCAGAAAGGCTGCTTTGTCCTGGATGGTGTCAGACCTCTTGAGCGTTGTTGGAGCAAAACATCCTTCAATGTTTCCGTTTTTTGATTTCCCTGTGATAGTGAGTTCCACGTTCTAACTACTCTCTGAATAAAAAGGGTTTCTCTTGAATTCCATATTGGATTTATTACTAACTCCAAAATTATTAAATTAGTAACTTGTATTTATAGTTTTGATTTAACGTGCAAGTGGAACCATCATCTGCATTTCAACTCTTATAAAACCCTTTCATAATCGTAGTCTTCTTGCTAGAGAAGAAGCCTCAATCTATTCTTTCTTTCCCTACTTGGTATAACTTCTAGATTCTGGTAGTATTCTTCTAATTTCCAGTGCCCAAACTTTTAATAATATGGAGTCCAGAACTGTTCCAAGGTTTATGTGGGGTCTGACCATGCTTCTGTACAAATTTAAGAAATTTAAGTTTTTAAAAAAAACTTCTCTGCTTTTCAATTTTTTTCCATCTGGAAATGAACTCCATGCTTTGATTACACTATTCTTGTCTTATTAATCTACGATGGGACTTCTTTTGATTTATTTGTCTGACCCCTTCCTCTACCCTTTTTAGGTATTTATCCAAAGGAAAAATACTGGAAATCTGAATTACAAACACAAAACAATGGAAATATTCAATTCTGGCAGTATTTAAAGAAACAGAAGTTAAAGTTTGAGATAGATGACTTCTCATAAGAACTTAGCCATCCGTCACCACATCAAACACTGGTAACCTTACAAAATAAAAATGGAAAGAACAGTGGATGCTGTAAATCAGGAACAAAAACAGAAGTTGCTGGAAAAGCTCAGCAAGTCTGGCAGCCACTATGAAGAAAAATCAGTTCTGAGGAAGGGTCACAGGACCCAAAATGTTAACTCTGATTTTTCTTCACAGATGCAGCCAGACCTGCTGAGTTTTTCCAGCAACTTCTGTTTTTATTACTGGCAATCTTACTGCCCTGTGTCAAAATCATTCCTGCATTCAGGATCACAATATATCAAACATAACTAACTATCACTTCCAACTGTCTTTAAAACCCTTTCCCCTGACCCTTTTGTTACGTGTGTGGAGCTGTTCCACACGGTCATCATGATTGACACCATTTGTTAACTGTCTTTGATGGTACTCACTTACCTCCTTTCCCCTTCCCACCAAGTAAAACCTCTTCAGGTTCAGCCCTGTTTGAGCCACAGGAGGATTCCATGCATTCAGTGTCCCATTGTTGGGAAAAGGACACACCTGGAAAAACCTTGAATCCATATGTGTCCCTAAGGGGTTCACGTCACAGTCCAGTTTCATTATTAGCAGGAATCACAATTTTTTTTGGAAGAATAAATTCTTTTCATAGTGGGTTGAAATAAATGTCTTCTGTTACCCATTGAGAAATATCTTGGGAGTTGCAATTAAGTATTGTACCTGCTTGTTGGAGCAGTGATTTTATTGAGTGTTACATTAGAATATTGTACATTTAGTACCAATACTCTTTCATTGAATATTTTGTCTTCAAATAGTATGTTAATGTTCCAGGAGGATTGTATTACAGTGACTAAGGATTTTCGGCGAATTGAAAATGCCTATCAGATGGAAGCAGAGGTACTATTCAGTTTCAGTTGTAACTTTTCATAAATGTGCACAGAAGAGCTGTATATGTATTGTGTAAACTATATCTTTAGCATTAACTTATTACATTTAATTATAATGGATGAAAACTTGATACTGTCAATTTTTGGTTTTATAAAGGAACAGATTTGTGAAATATAATTTAATCCAATCACAAATGTAATATTGGAAATGTACTAATATAGATGGGAATCTAAGCTGTGAAGGCAGGACCTATATTAAAGAGATGCAGACTGGCTAAGTAAATGGGCAATGAGGTGACAAATGGAATATAATTATGAGAAGATGTTATTTACTTTAACTGTAAGAATAGACAAGCAGAATATATTTCGAAAAGAGGGACGTGGGTGTACTTATGCAAGGATCACAGAACATTTAGCATACAGCTACAGCAAGCAGAAGAGGCAGTGACATAGAGGTAATGTCACTGGATTAGTAACCCAGAAGCCCACGCTAATGTTTTAAGGACATTTTTTTTTGTCGAGGGTTGAATCATACCATGGCAGATTGTGAAACTTGAATTCAGTTAAAAATATGGAACAAAAAATTAGCCCAATGCCAACCAAGCTGCTTTCAAAGTGTCCTTTCGGGAAGGAATTCTGCCATTTTTGCCTGGACTGGCCTACACATGTCCCCAGCCCGCAGCAAAGTGGTCAATTCTTAACTGCTCTCTGGGCAGTTGGAGATGGGCTATAAATACTGGTTTGCCAACGACATCCGTGTTCTGTGAATAAATAATAAAAAGAAGCAATTGGAAAGATAAAAGGCATGTAGGCCTTTATTGCAAATGCACTAGAATAAAAGAATAAGTATCGTTCTCCCATTGTACAGAGCTTTGTTAAGACCGCATCTGGAGTACTACATGCAATTTTAACCCCCATATTTAAAAGGTAAAGGTGCAATAAAGGTTCACTGGATTAGTTCCTGGAATGAGGAGGTTGTCTTGTCTTGAAAGGCTAAGTGAATAAGAATATACATTCCAGAGTTAACAAAAAAAAAGAGGCAAGCTTATGAAAATATAAGAATTCTGAAGTGGCTTAACAGTACAGATTCGGAGGTTATTTACCTGGTTGGGAATCTCGACAAAGGACACAGTCTTAGGATTAGGGTCTGATCATTTGGAACTGAAATTTTTCTTCACTCAGTTTTCCCAATATTTGAAATTCTGCAGAAGTTTGAAGAGGCTTCATTGTGGAATATATTTAAATATAAAAGACTTTTAATTGTTGAGAATCAAAGGATTTGGGGAGCATACAGGAAAGTGGATTTGAGAACTGCACGACCATATTGAATGATGGTGTAAGTCTGGGTCTGCTCCTAGTTCTTATGTTCTTCTAAGTTTGTTTGAATGCTTTATATGTATTTAATTGTGAAAATTGTAGCTTTTATTCTCGTTAGGTGAGTATTATAATTACTTTATTAAAGTTATTAAGGCTAACTTTTTAGCTGCTTTTCTCTGCCCAATTCACTGTTCAAATGGCTGCCAACTCCAGCCAAATGCCTAAGCACAGCAGAGGAAGGGAGACCTTCTCCAAAAATAGTTTAACACTGACATAAGAGACTTACTCTCTGCCCTGCTGTTCCAAGGATGCATAATAGCAAACTAATTACTTTTCATAAGAACTATAATCAGGAGTAGTCAGTTCAGCACCTTGAGCTTGCTCTGCCATTTAATATGATGAAGGCTGATATTATCTCGGCCTCAACTCCACTTTCTATCCTGCTGCATGCGGAGTCTTACGGCCCAGTGGTATTATCACCAGAGTATTAATCCAGAAAATCCGCTAGTGTTCTAGGGACTTGGGTTTGAATCCTACCACGGCAGATGGCGGAATTTGAATTCAATATTTTAAAAAAATTATGTTTCAGGAAAAAAAATCTGGAATTCAGAATCTACTGATGATGATGAAACCACTGTTGATTGTTGGAAAAACCCATATCGTTCACTAATTTCCTTCAGGGAATGTCATTGATTCCCAATTGCCTTCTGAAATAGCTTAGCAAGCCACACAGTTGTACCAAATGCTACTAAGTTTCAAAGAAGATAGAAGGTAGTGGTGGAGGGTTGCTTTTCATACTGGAGGCCTGTGAGCAGTAGTGTGCCACAAGATTCAGTGCTGGGTCCACTGCTTTTTGTCATTCATATAAATGATTTGGATGTGAACATAGGAGGCATGATTAGTAAGTTTGCAGGTGACACTAAATTTGGAGGTGTACTAGACAGCATAGAAGATTACCTCAGAGTACAATAGATCTTGATCAGATGGGCCAAAGGGGCGAGGAGTGGCAATTGGAGTTTAATTTAGATAAATGTGAGGTGCTGCAATTTGGAAAGGCAAATCAGGGCAGGACTTATACACTGAATGGTAAGGTCATGGGGAGTGTTGCTGAACAAAGAAACCTTGGAGTGCAGGTTCACAGTTCCTTGAAAGTGGATTTGCAGGTATTTAGGATAGTGAAGAAGGCGTTTGGTGTGCTTGCCTTTATTGGTCAGTGCATTGAGTATAGGAGTTGGGAGGTCATGTTATGGCCATACAGGACGTTGGTTCGGCCACTTTTGGAGTATTGCATGCAATTCTGGTCTCCCTCCTATAGGAAGGATGTTGTAAAACTGGAAAGGGTTCAGAAAAGATTTACGAGGATGTTGCCAGGGTTGGAGGGTTTGAGTATAAGGAGAGGCTAAATAGGCTGCAGCTATTTTCCCCGGAGCATTGGAGGCTGAGGGGTGACCTTACAGAGGTTTATAAAATCACGAGGGACATGGATAGGGTAAATAGGCAATGTCTTTTCCCCAGGGTGAGGGTGTCCAAAACTAGAAGGTATAGGTTTAAGGTGAGAGGGGAAAGATATAAAAGGGTCCTAAGGGACAATTTTTTTTCATGCAGAGGGTGGTGCGTGTACACAATGAGCTGCCAGAGGAAGTAGTGGAAGCTGCTACGATTACAGTTTAAAAGGCCTCTGGATGGGTATACGAATAGGAAGGGTTTAGAGGGATATGGGACAAATACTGGCAAATGGAACTAGATTTATATAGGATATCTGGTCAGCATGGACAAATTGGACTGAAGGGTCTGTTTCCTTGCTGTATATCTCTGACTCTATAAATGGAACCAGCCAGCCAGATCACCTGGCATCGACCTAGGCACCAGAAAAAAACGACAGAAACAGCCCTATCGACCCTGCAATATCTAGTTCTTAAGCTATCAATAATACTGGAAGATTGTAATCTTCAAGATTCGAAAGATGTTATTAAGACTACTTCTATCGTTCAGCCTAAGCCCAAAAGTGTCATGTATATACGTAGTATTGAACACCTTTCACTTCATTATATTTTATTTAGTTAAGCCACAGATTTTGATATCATTTTGAAATATTTAAAAAGACTTTTTTTTTGCTTCCCAGGTATCTGTTATATTCAATGACTTCAGCAAGATGGAGAATTGCTGTAACTTATTGGTGGAGAAACTAGATAGTTCTGTTGTTGTTGGTTCACCTCAGTTTTATCATACAACTGAAGCTGTGGAAAGTATCAGGTAACGTGGACTACTTTGTTTTTGTTAGCCAGGATCAAGACCCTTTGACGCCTTGTTCAAAGATCAGTGTTTTAGATTATTTATTGTACTGCTTACTTATTCCATGAACAATTCATTTTTCTAATAGATTTAAAACACACTTTTAACCCTTTTTAATGCTCATGCAAACTGAAGTTCCTTGTAGATGGAATAATTTTACAGCTAGTTAAGTCTTTTTTTTAAAAAAGCACACGTTTTATGATCTTAATTGCACGTTATTATAAATAGTGAGTGGCATTGACCTGGAACCTGCTGCCTACAGTGACGGAGAAAATTGGATGGGTACTTGAGGGAAACAAACTTGCAGGGCAATGGAGATAGAGTATAGCTATTGGACAAACTGTGTCATCCTACAAACAGGCAGCATGGGCTTGATGAAGTGAAGGGCCTCCTTATGGATGCACTAATGAGTCTTGCGTTTCTGTTACCCAAAATATATTACATATTGTTCATTAAAGTCCATTAGGGAAGGAAACTGCCATCCCTACCTGGTCTGGCCTACATGTGACTTCAGACCCAATGTGGTTGACTCTGAACTACCCTCTGGGCAATTAGGGATGGGCAATAAATCCTGTTAATGAATTTAAAACAAAATTTTGAGTTTTTGTATCAATTGGATTGCTTTAGAGTTGTATTGGTGTAGATGTTTCTACCGTAGAAGTAAATGTCGAGTGAGATATAAGGCATATCAAAACCACTTACATCCAAATCCAGGTAGTTTTTTTTTTAGATAAACTAATAGATCAGCAAGTGGTTTTGGGAAATAGTTCAAGGGGAAACTTAAGCTCTCATGCTTGAATATAAAAATCAAGCACTGCCATTGATATCAATGTAGTATTGACTTGAAACTGGTTTCAAGTTGACCACAAATCACCAACATATAGTTTACATTATATCATATCTACTCAGCCTTGGTGCTAATATGTGCAGAAGAGCTGAATTCCAAAAGTTAAGTCAGAGTGACTGTCCTTGAATTCAAAGTGACATTTGACAGTGTGGCATCAAAGAGTGTCAGTAAAGTTGAAGTTTCAGCCCCAGAACATTGCTGTTAATTTCTTAGGGCATTGTTCTAAGCCCAACCATCTTCGCTGCTTCCTCAATGACTTGCCTCCATTATAAAACCGGAAGTGAGGATGTTTCTGATTGCACAATAAAGAGTTGCAAATGGTGATGAATAGGTACAGAAGCACGATGTGTTGCATTTAGCAAGACCTCGACAGCATTCAAGCTTGGGCTGATAAGTGGTAAGTAGCTTTGCGCCACAAAAATGCCAGGTGATGACATCTCAATAGAAGGCAATAAAACCACTTATTCTCGATGTTTATGGCATTGCCAATTGGCAATTCACTTACTATTAACATTCTGAGCCAGGCAGTCACCGCTGACAAGAAATTTTATTGTACCAGTCTCTCTCTCTCACACAGACACATACATACACACACACAACTACAATAGCAGGTAAAAGAATTACTGATTCGTTAGGGAGGAGAAGGAGGCCATTCTGCCTATCTACTCTGTTTAGCTTGGTCATGATTTTGAAACCCTCTACTAAATCTTCTCTCAGTTGGCATCTCTCCAAAGAGAGCAATCCCAACTTCTTCAATCTATCCACATAAACTGAAGTTTCTCATTCTTGGAACCATTCTCGCAAATCATTTCGACACTCTCTCTAACACATTCATATCTTTCCTATAATGTGGCACCCAGAACTGAAATCTACGAGCATAAGTTCATCATTACCTTCTTATTCTTGTTATTTATGAACCAATTAATAGAGCAAGAACACTGCTTTATTAACTGCTCTCTTTACCTATACTGCCACTTTCAGAGATCTATGCACATATATACCCAGGTTCTTCCTGCATACCTTTTAGAATTGTGCTCCATACTTTATATTGTCTTTCAATGTTCTTCTGACCAGTGTGTGTCACCTTCTTTGCATCTAACCTCATCTGCCACCTTTCTACCCATTCCACCAACTTGTCCTTTTGGAGTTGCACACTGTTCTCACAGTTTACAATTCTTCCAATTCAGAGGCTGGCTAGTCTGCAGTGACTCCCCTCCAAAAGCATGTCCACCTTCTACAAGGCTATCGTTGATTGTTGTAAAAGCCTATGTGGTTCATTATTGCCCTTTCAGGAAGAAAATCTCCTGCCCTTACCTGTATGTAGCTCTCAACCCACAGCAATGTGGTTGACTTTTAACTGCCCTTTGATATGGCTCATCAAGCTACTTAGTTCAAAGCAGTTAAGATAGGAAACAAATGTCAGCCTTACTTAAGAGATAGTAGGAACTGCAGATGCTGGAGAATCCGAGACAACAAGGTGCAGGGCTGGATGAACACAGCAGGCCAAGCAGCATCATAGGAGCAGAGAGGCTGACGTTTCGGGCCTAGACCCTTCATCAGAAAAGGGGGAGGGGAAGGGGGTTTTGAAATAAATAGGGAGAGAGTGGGAGGCGGATAGAAGAGGGATAGAGGAGAGGATAGGTGGAGAGGAAACAAACAGGTCGAAGAGGTGGGGATGGAGCCAGTAAAGGTGAGTGTAGGTAGGGAGTTAGGAAGGGGATAGGTCAGTCCAGGGAGGACGGACAGGTCAAGGGGGCCGGATGAGGTTGGTCGGTAGGAGATGGAGGTGCGGCTTGAGGTGGGAGGAGGGGATAGGTGGGAGGAAGAACAGGTTAGGGAGGCAGGGACGAGCTGGACTGGTTTTGGGATGCGGTAGGGGGAGGGGAGATTTTGAAACTTGTGAAATCCACATTGATACCATTGGGCTGCAGGGTTCCCAAGCGGAATATGAGTTGCTGTTCCTGCAACCTTCGGGTGGCATCGTTGTGGCACTGCAGGAGGCCCAGGATGGACATGTCGTCTGAGGAATGGGAGGGGGAGTTGAAATGGTTCGCGACTGGGAGGTGCAGTTGTTTATTGCGAACCGAGCGTAGGTGTTCTGCAAAGCGGTCCCCGAGCCTCCGCTTGGTTTCCCCGATGTAGAGGAAGCCACACCGGGTACAGCGGATGCAGTATACCACATTGGCAGATGTGCAGGTGAACATCTGCTTGATGTGGAAAGTCTTCTTGGGGCCTGGGATGGGGGTGAGGGAGGAGGTATGGGGGCAGGTGTAGCACTTCCTGCGGTTGCAGGGAAAAGTGCCGGGTGTGGTGGAGCTGGAGGGGAGTGTGGAGCGGACAAGGGAGTCACGGAGAGAGTTGTCCCTCCGGAAAGCAGATAAGGGTGGGGAGGGAAAGATGTCTTTGGTGGTGGGGTCGGATTGCAGATGGCGGAAGTGTCGGAGGATGATGCGTTGGATCCGGAGGTTGGTGGGGTGGTACGTGAGGACGAGGGGGATTCTTTTTTGGTTCTTATTGCGTGGACGGGGTGAGAGGGATGAGGTGCGGGAGATGTGGGAGACACGGTTGAGGGTGTTCTCGACCACTGAGGAGGGGAAGTTACGGTCCTTGAAAAACGAGGACAACTGAGATGTACGGGAGTGGAATGCCTCATCCTGGGAGCAGATGCGGCGGAGGCGAAGGAATTGGGAATAGGGGATAGCATTTTTGCAGGAAGGTGGGTGGGAGGAGGAGTATTCTAGGTAGCTGTGGGAGTCGGTGGGCTTGAAATGAATATCGGTTTCTAGGTGGTTGCCCGATATGGAGACAGAGAGGTCCAGGAACGGGAGAGAGGTGTTGGAGATGGTCCAGGTAAACTTAAGGTTGGGGTGGAAGGTGTTAGTGAAGTGTATGAACTGTTCGAGCTCCTCGTGGGAGCACGAGGCGGCGCCGATACAGTCATCAATGTAACGGAGGAAGAGGTGGGGTTTAGGGCCGGTGTAGGTACGGAAGAGGGATTGTTCCACGTAACCTACGAAGAGGCAGGCGTAGCTTGGGCCCATGCGGGTACCCATGGCTACCCCCTTTGTCTGTAGGAAGTGGGACCACGTAATCTACGAAGAGCCTTACTTAAGAAGCTTGACACCGTCTAAGGCAAAGCAGCCTCTTTGACTGGCAGCCCATTCATCACCTTAAACATTCACTCCCTCCAACACAAATGCACCATAGGATCAGTATCATTTGTATTGCAGCAACTTACAAACCTACAATCTGTGCTGCCTAGAAGTGCACGATCAGCAAATACATAGGAACAGCACCTTCTGCAAGTTCTCATCTGAGCCACCCAGCATTTTGACTTGAACTATATCACCACTGCTTTATTGTCCCTGAATAGAACCCCAGCCTAGCAGCATTGTGGGTGGATCAACACGCCAGGGACTGCAGCAGTTGAAGAAGGAAGTTCATAACCAACCTTGATATAAAGATGCTAATCAATTAGCAAATTAATGTAATGCCCACATTCTGTAGTTTTTTTTTTAAACTCTCCTGTTTTCCCTGTAGCGTGCCATATTTTCATTAATTTTATTGCAGATAATAAAGGTATTTCTTTTGGGATTAAGATGGCTTCAGGTGTAGTACAAACCACTTGAACCTTTGCAGCCTCTGTTATTCTAAATAAAGCCATGAAATTTATTGGCACTAAATTCCACGTGCTTTTTTTTTTAATCAATTCAATCCTATTGTTAGATTCCTTAACATCCCTTTAAAATGTATACAAAACAATGACTTGTAAGGCCATAACTGCCATATGGTGGAGGAAACAAAATGGTCTTCAGACTCGAACAACAGGAATGACCTTAGGAACAAAAACAAAGTTGCTGGAAAAGCTCAGCAGATCTGGCAGCATCTGTGAAGGAGAAAACGGAGTTAATGTTTCCGGTCCGGTGACCCATCCTCAGAACCTCGGGAATGACCTTAGGTTTGTGTGGTGGGAAGTGGAGTGTTTTGGGTACTGGTGCTAACTTCTTTCTTTTGAGAAGATAATGGAGTTGTGCTTGAGGAAAAAAAAAATTAAATGTTTTAATGTTTAATTATGCATGCAGAAAATGTGGAAACATGAAAAAATGCCAGTGAAAGGGCTTGAATATAATTCAGGACGTGGGTATGATAGGCCCATCATAAACTAAGATTCTGGCCTCGAAGTGGCAAAATTTCAATCCATCCCTCACCCACTTAATGGCAACTGTGGAAGTGGGGCCTAGGTCTCCTTAAACTAAGAGCTCATGGTTTCTCTTGAGGAGAACATGTCTGGAGGCCAAAACAGCCAGCGAGTTGAGGTAAACCAACTTCCAAAGGATATTAGGCTCAGTTGGTAGGAGGTTCTCAGATGGCAGAATTAATTTAAAAAATAAAATTCGACCATTGGTTCCAATCGACCTGGCTGCCAATCTCTTGCAAATTCTACTGTGTTCACTGACAGGCATAATACTGCTGCAGTTGACTAAGAGAGTTACATCCTGCATTACTTTGGATGTGTAGCAACAGCAAGCTCAACAACATGAAACAGATGTGCTGCATTAACAATAGTTTCCTTCTTCATTTTGTATCAGCACAAAATCGTAATTTTGTATTGTAATAGCACGTGAAGTTATCAGACAGTTGGAGAATTTATTAAAACAGAAATTTGAACATCCAGAAGTTGATTGATTAATCTGTGGCCAGTTATACTAATTCTTCAGGCAATTGGCCAACCTCCCACCATAACATCAGTGAAACTTTGATTGTATTTCCTGTAGGAATCCAGAGTTTCATTTTCACTGCAAAAACTTGATGAATGGGGTAGCCTGAGTAACAGAAATTTAGCTCCTTTGCTTCACTTGCATTTCTCCGTGAAATCACTGCCCTGCTGGGATGAGGCACAAGAAATTATCATCAAGTAGCTACTGCTGAAAACCTGTGAAAATGTTCCCACCACGAGTGCTCCAGGAAGGGAAGTCCAGGGCGGGAATTGCCCAAGGGTTCCTCATAGAGCTGTGTGGAGCATTTACATTCTTCTGGCCCTGGCTAATGTTTCTGGCAAGTTTTACCCAAAAGAAACTCCATTAATATCCGACTCAGGCCTTAGGTTACAAGGCCATACTGAGCCTTGATGATATCAAAGTGCACCACATGTTTGAAGAGGACCTCACTTGTGCAGGTGTTCTTACCGACCACAATTTCTGCGTAAACTCCTCACTCCATTATAATTTCCTTGCTGCCTTACACTTTAGGGTGGTAGAGGGTCAGGAATTAGGTGGGCAGTTAAAATCCGAGGCCTTAGCATCTGCTGTAATTTTTTTTAACTAAAATGTGTAGAGTAAAATAAAATTTTATCCAAGTTCTGTTTTATTTTGTATAGACGGCAGGCGTGTCTTCGAGCAGTTGCTAATTCTCGACGTAAAGCATTTGAAGTATGCCGACTACTTGGCCAGACACTCGGCAGACCTTTGATTGTTCGAGAAGAAGAAATTAAAGAAACTGAAGGGTTAACCTCTGAAGCACAAGCACCAGACAATACAAGGCCATTGACTATACAGCAGCAAATTAGCAATGCATCTGTGACTGTTTGTTCTAAAGTCTTTGTGACTTTTGAACTTAAATCAAAAGATAATCTCAAAAGAAATAATTGAGTATGACCCTTTTTGAATTTATAAATTAAAGCTTTTAAATCGGGAAACTGGCTGATTTTTTGGAAAAGGGGAAAGAATGTTTCAAACGTGTACTAATGCAGAATTTGGAAGCAAACTGGAAATGCAAATTCTGTATTAGCTAATTCTTGATGGTGCTAATTTTTAACTTGTTTCTTAGTGTGGTTACAATGGATCCATCAGTCTTGTGCATAATAGAATCTGTTATTTCTACTTATTCAGCTCATCACCAGTAACCAAAACTCCATGGAACATCTGTCAACTTATGGCAAAAGATGGCTAGGAACAAAAAGTTATTGACAGGTTTTTTTTCATAGATGCAGCTACGAGGCATATAATTTTTTGTGCAACAGTCAGCATCATCAAATCTTTTTTAGTCATTTCTCTGTCATATAATCTTTTAATCTTCATTGCTGTGCTGATACAAAATGAAGAAGGAAACTATTGTTAATGCAGCACATCTGTTTCATGTTGTTGAGCTTGCTGTTGCTACACATCCAAAGTAATGCAGGATGTAACTCTCTTAGTCAACTGCAGCAGTATTATGCCTGTCAGTGAACACAGTAGAATTTGCAAGAGATTGGCAGCCAGGTCGATTGGAACCAATGGTCGAATTTTATTTTTTAAATTAATTCTGCCATCTGAGAACCTCCTACCAACTGAGCCTAATATCCTTTGGAAGTTGGTTTACCTCAACTCGCTGGCTGTTTTGGCCTCCAGATATGTTAAACTCCTCAAGAGAAACCATGAGCTCTTAGTTTAAGGAGACCTAGGCCCCACTTCCACAGTTGCCATTAAGTGGGTGAGGGATGGATTGAAATTTTGCCACTTCGAGGCCAGAATCTTAGTTTATGATGGGCCTATCATACCCACGTCCTGAATTATATTCAAGTCCTTTCACTGGCATTTTTTCAGAGTTAACAGCAGGAACCTGGCAATGTAATTGAGAAAACCCGACTCCTCTTCCCCACTTCCCGAAACATTCCTAGGAAAGGAGTGCAGTTTCTAACAGTTACTGTAATATTCAGATTCTAGTGTGTTAAAATAACACATTTCTTTGACTCAATGTTGTGAACCAATACATGTTAGTGACGTGACAAGAGTATTTTTACAGTCAGAATGGGAAAGTTAGAAGATTTATTAAAACAATTTTATTTTGTAAAAAAAAAAGCTACTTTTTCTTCAAAGATGTAGATCTTTTACTACCATGCAAATGTAAATATTTGTTTTAAATAAAAACAGAGTACTAGAGAACCTCAGCAGGTCTGGCAGCATCTGTGGAGAGAGAAATAACATTAATATTTTGAGACCCTAGGAACTTTCTTTTTCCACAGATATTGTCAGACCTGCTGAGTTTCTTGAGCACTTTTTTTAAATTTCAGATTCCCAGCTTCTGCAGTATTTTGCTATTATTTCATATATATTTAGTTCCATCCATTTGTTGTAACTTACTACAATACCTCAGCTACCATTATTTATACGTGGACACCTACTTTGTACTAAATACTTGGTTATTAAAAACCTCAGTGACTTGCATACTTCTGTTTTCACAAGCTCATTTACCTTAACCATCCAGACAATCTTCAAGCATGTACGCAGACCTTGACTGATAAGTGGATAATCAGCCTTACCACAACTTAAGGGTTGGAGTACAGAAACCAAAGCTTCTTCCTGTTGTTATTCAACTTTTATACATTATGTGGATCTTTGCATTGGGATCAACAAATACTCAGCAAGACTGATTCATTTTCCCATTCTGTAGTCATTAATGCCAATTGTTGCTTCAGATTAGATAAACTAAAGAATCAGTTTTCAATGGTTGGAACACCAACACTGCTTTGATGAGGCACGAGTTCACCATGAAACTTTAATTGTAGCAATTTTCCAAGGTTATTTTCCCCATAATGTATGGACTGTGCAGCCTCTGGCAGAGACACTAGAGAAAATTAAAAGATTTTTCTTCCAATTGTTTGAACATTCCTTGTAAAAATGTGCTGCAGGCTTTACAATTGATCCGCTGTTTCTGCTCCATTATGCACAGTAAAACAAGAGAAACACCTTTTGGTCTCCCATGCACTCAGCACTAGTATGGATAAATATGTGAGATGATTTCACTTGCAAAATACTACAGTACATTTGCTCCCAACTGCAAGTGGCTGTTAGGTAGACCTACATATGTCACTTTTGTCAGTGTCTCTTGAAGAATCCCCTGCTGATATTACAACTGGGAGCTCATGTAATTCAAACTGGAAAATCTAGCTCAGGAGTCTCACATAGGACCTGATCTGTATAATAATGTGTAACACCAGATGGTTGCATTATCAACTGGGCTAATAGTGGAAATTCAGAAAAGCATTTTCTAAAATCCAGCCTTTGGTGTTGCTCATAGAGGCAATGATTTATGCATTAATTAACAGTAATTAAAGCAGTAGTTCAAGATGCCCTTTTTTTTTGCTCAGAAAAACAGACCATTTCCCCTTGAGAGGAAAAATAATCAGTTCTTTGGCTGTAGTTCAATGCCTAAATAGCTGGTGAAAGAGCTGAGTTTTTTTTTTCTGGAGGAATTTGTCTCAATTCCATTTTCTACACAATGTTTCACACACAGCTGTTTAATTTCCCTAAAATTCTCATGACAAAGTGAGCTTGAAATTCTGTAACTAAAATAACTAGATTAATAAATTATTCAATGGGTCTTATATAATCTGACTAATTCAACCTTTCCTTGCCTCCTTGTTGTAAAAACCTCTTGCCTAAATGAGGATTCAGAGTGTTTGCACTAAAATCAGGAATTGATTTTCAATGTTTTTGAAGAGAGCTGGAAGCAAGGTCCACCTTAGTGACAAACTGTTTATTTTTTAATCAAAATGTTTCCGATTTTAAAATGAAATTGCTCTGAATAAAAGTGAGAAAACTACATTGTCAATTTTTGCTGTTCATTTAAGTCAATTTTGCAGGCTTAATGGAACTGACAAAATTATTTATTAAATGCAAATGCATTATTTTTAGTTTAGAGTTAGTATCTCTGTCCAGTCAATTTGGCATCATTCTAACTCTGGATCAGTTAGATTGGCAAATATGAAGTGGATGGGAAGCAGACTGCAGTTATTTGGGAATATGCTATCACAGCCTACTAAACCCAAACGCTACAAGTTGCCGCATGACTTGCAATCAAACTTTAAATTATGTACACACATTGTTGCTTTTATTAATGAGTAATATTGAGACACACTGCTCCTAACTTCAATAAAATATTATCCTTTTGAGCCTTTCTCACAATGGAAGTATTTGTCTTTTCCCATGGCCCCTATTACATTTTCTTTAATACATGTATATAAATATGTCAGGGCCCAGTGGTGAAGAGATGGTGCCAAAACAGTGGCAGCTCCTAAGTTGGTGGGTCTGGCACAGGCGGTGGAGGCAGGCTGACAATGCAGGTGTCGTTGGTGAGCCAGCTCAAGCCTAAGGACTTTCTTTCAGTTATATCTTTTAGCCTTTTTATTCTTAAAAGTATTCAAAATGGCACCAGACTGTGGCGCTATTTGAAGCTTTTCTCTGTATTTAATTGTTCACAGTAAAATGCAAGTGACAATAAATAAATTAAACATACTTGGTATGATATGCACAATGACAACTTAATGAAGTATAAATATCTTTTTCATATTCTGTTGTCAATGTGGATAGCAACTACAAGATTATCATTTTTTTCCATTTCTAAATGCTTTTGAGCATGAATCACATTGTTGAACTGCTGCAATTCTTTTGAAACTCTACCATCTTTCCGTTGATCATGTGATAATCCAATTTTCCAAACTTTACTTGATGGTGGTTGCACCAGTCAAGCTGACATAACTTCTGTTTTGTTAATGGGGGAGCTGGTGGTGTAGCGGAAATGTAACTGAATGAATGATTTTTATTGTCACGTGTATTTTAGGGTGAGAAATACAATAAAATACAGTGAAAAGCTTCCATTTGTCACCACAAAATAGCCATTTTAATAGTTTAAGAATGAGAAAAATGAAAAAAGTATAGCTTAACAAGAAGTCCATCTACATTCGAGTTCTGAGCCAGTTCAGAACCACCACTGCTTTGCCAAACCCAACTAACGTCAGTGTTGCCGATTTCTCAACTGCCATCTTTCTCCACTGGGCTGATTCACCTCTGCCACCACCTGCACCAGACCCACCAATGCCAGAGGCTCTCACCACGGCCCACCTTGTCGATGTTGCTGTGATGCCCTTCTGCCACTGTTTCACCGCCAGCACTGGACAAAACTAACACCAAAGTCATCGATCCTCAGGCATCATCTTTCGCCACTGGACCCACCTTACCGACTTCGCCAACAGGGCTCAATTTCCCCCGCTCTGGGACCTCTGTCCTCCGCACTGGGCTTGCTGTCCTCAGTGAGTCTGCGCCAGAATAACTCACCTTCGCCAATGCCATCAGTACTCTTCACAGTAAGTGAAGTAAAAGTTAAGTAAAAAGGGAAAAAAAAACAAAAACCAAAAGAAATGAGAAGTGGATGATCCCCGAGCTCGGAGACCTACTCCACAGCCATCTTGGTGCTTATTCCTAAGAAGATAACTAGTAATTCAGAATCATAGGCTAATGTTGTACGGATTATGAGTTAAAATCCCATTGTGGTAGACTTGTATTCAATAAAAACCTTAATAAAAAGCTAGTTTAACCACTGACAATTGTTGTTTTCAAGAGAAAAAGAACATGTGATTCACTGATAGCCTTTGAGGGAGGAAATCTGTATTTCTTACCTGGTCCAACTGACCTGTGACTTGAGAGCAACAGCGATATGGTTGATTCTTAACTGTTGTCTGGGCGATGCCCACATTGCATGAAAATAAAACAGAACATAATTTGTTATAGAATGTTTATGAATTTTACAGTACAAAGGGAGGCCATTCGACCCATTGTGTCTGTACTGGCTCAATAAAAATGGCTTAGAGATATTAAACTACCATCATCTAATTTTAATACTTGAAACTTTTCAAAATGGTTTTAAAATGAACAAAAGGAGAAATTGCTGGAAAACCCAGCAAGTCTGGCAGCATCTGTGCAGAGAAATAAGAGTTAACATGTTGGGCCCAGTGACCCTTCTTCAGAACTGATAGTAGCTAGGAAAAGGTTGGTATTTATGCAGAAGATGGGATGGGGAAAGGGGAAGGAATAAATGATAATCAATGGAGAGGAACAAACTTGCTGAATTTTTCCAGCAATTTCTGTTTTTGTTTCTGATTTCCAGTATCCACGGTTCTCTCGTTTTTTTTCTAAAAGAACAAATACGACCTAAAACAGCTGATCTGATCACCTTTCTAGGTTGAGCCAAGATCATGAAACCCTCAGTTATCAAAGATCACTGAGCCAAAATGAACATCATCATAAAAGGGTACTGAAGGCTGGTCAGTTCTGTGCCTATTGATTCACACCTTTCAGGAAGCTACACATTAAGATTAAAGATGTCTGCAGTGTTCAGCTCAGCAAAACAGCAGACCCAGGAATATACAATTGGAACTTTACCAACAGCTGCTTCTGAGTAGTAGTGCACAGACAAGGAAAAATAGATTTCCAAGCAAGAACTGGAATTGACTGTCTGAATGTCTCTTTCCCTCAACTTCAGTACCCAGTGAAAAAAAAAACTCGGAACAACAATCTTTCTCCAGCACTCTTTGTTTTATTTCAGAATGACAACCGTTCACTGAGAAATCAGGATCCACAAACTACACCATTGCTGAAGAATCGAAACAGCTAAACAGTTTGAACTCCAGTCATTCTCATAACTCAAAGACTCTGAGATGCAATTGTGTTTACCTTTAAATCTGCGTTGACAACCTCCGTAAACATATTATCTGCCTTTGTGTGTATTTGATGTGATAAATTTATTATTTTCTTTTGGAGTAGTAAGTAATAAAATCCCTCTTTCTTTGGGGTTCCTTAATTTTGCTAGTCAACTAAGTTTTAATTGAAGTGTGTTCATTTTGTGCTTAAAAGAAATGAAAATATTTGTTTCCATCAAACTAAGAGGGTTAACAAGAGAGGAAGAAAAACAAATTGCTAGTGAAACTCAGTAGGTCTGACAGCATCTGAAGGAAGAAAGGGAGAGTTAATGTTTTGAGTCTGGTGACTCCATTACTTCTTGTACTGATTCTTGTACTCATCAGGACAATTTATAAGAATATCAAATTTAAGGGGACAACCAACTTTGATAGTGGACTTTGATAGAGGTGTTGCCGTGGAGAATGTCCCATCAATGATGATTGACAGTTAACTATTAAACCGGGCACTGGGCAGCATTAATAGATATACTGTCCATGGCAATGCCTCTACCAATCAGAAGTCACATGACACCAGGTTATCGTCCAATAGGTTTATTTGAAATCACAAGCTTTCATAGCCCTGCTCCTTCATCAGGTGAAGTGGCAAAGGAACAGCACTCAGAAAGCTTGTAATGTCAAATAAACCTTTTGGACAATAACTTGGTGTCATGTGACTTCTGACCTTGTCCACCCCAGTCCAACATGGCGCCTCCACGTTATGTCCACCAATCAGAATTCACTTGTCAATCAATCAGCACTCTCTGCTCATGCAATAAGAATGTAGGTTTTCCTTTGAAAAGGCATTCTTGCAAATTGTCCTGAAGAGTGCACAATGAAAAGCTCTGACAAAAATTGTCTTCTTTTCAGCAACACTCAAGTTTTGCATGACCTTTTTTTAAATTGCTTAATGGAAAACGGGCATTGCTGACTGGGCCAGCATTTATTGCCCAATATTAATTACCTTTGAGAGCTGCTTGAACTGTCAAAAATACTTTCTAGCAAATGATAGAACTCAGTGACTTGCTCAGCCATTTCAGAGAGCAGTTAAGAGTCAACTCCATTGCTGTGGAACTGGTCACATGGAGACCAGACCAGGTAAAGATGGCAGTTTTCCTTCCCTAAAGAATATTAATGAACCCGATGGATTATTTACGACATTTGCCAATGGTTTCATAGTCATTGTTATCTCTAATTTCAAGCTATTTTATTGCATTCAAACCTGGGTTCCCAGAACATTGCTTAAATCTCTGGATTACTAGTCTAGCAATAATACTACTATGTCACTGCCACTGCTAAATGATAATTGGATGACTATGACTTAATACGTGGAGCCATAAACTCAGGGAAACTGTAGTCTGGACACCAGAGAAGAATTAGGGCAGAGTAAATACCCCATAGACAAGCCAGAGAGAAAAGGGAGGTCCCACAGAGAAGGCAAAACTGTCCCCTACTATTAGAAGTAGTGGATTGCATAGGGGACACTGGTAGGAAACTGCCCCAGTGCTTCTGCTATGGGATACAAGGGCATATAAAGAAAATTTTGGTTCCTGCACCCCAGAGAA